GTCCGTTGGGTCTGACAGGAAGGCCGGTTTTTACTTTGGCAAGAATAATTTCTGGTTGTTAGAGATCAGGTATATAGCATACTCTTTTGAGAAGTTTATGTAAAAAGGCAAGAAATATTTTCTTCTTTGACATGTTCATTCTAAAACTTTTGAAGTTCGGTAGTTGCTCCTTCAGTGACTTTTTAACCTCCATTGGTCTTTTTTCCTCATTGGCTTCTCTCAGGAACTCTGATCTGATCAAGGCTCAGCCACATCCTAGCTCCTGCTAACATATAGTATCCACCGTAATTCTTAACTATGAAGTGGTGCCAAAGATGGTTTGGGTTAAAAAAAAAATGAAGTGAGGCTAATAATGCCTTATTTCCAGTTCTTTTGTTAGGAATACATAAATAAAGCTTTGTTTTTTGGTCTTTTTATTTAAAAACATTAATTGGCTTTATACATTTCTATTAACACTTTTTTGTCCTTATTTTAGGGACGAGAAGGTGCAGAAATTGAACCTTGGGAAGATGCTGATTACCTTGTTTACAAAGTCACAGATAGATTTGGTTTTCTACAGTAAGTCACATAGATTGAAAGTTAACATTGTAGATTATAATGTCTCTATGGTTTCCTATTTTATTGATTTTCTTTATTTTTAATAGAATGCCTGTGACTATGGTTTCAGGAATGGTCCTAAATATGCCTTTTTGGTACTGGAGATGATTCCAGTGAGAAATAGTCAAGAACCTACTTACTAATATTAGCTAGTATTTATTAAGCATTTATTGTGTGCCAGGCATTATTCTAAACTTTTTTTTATAAATAGAGGTTTTTGCCATAGAGCACATGTGCTTGCTGGAGAGACAGAGATAGTGAGAGGGAAAGTGAGAAATAACCCCCTGGGAGGATAGCCATGCTGCAATTCCTTCTCTATTCTCCTTCTGGGATCTTGGACACACACGCACATGCGTCCAGTGTGATTTTCAGGCCACTGTGTCCAGTGGTCGGCCATGTGTGAGTCTAGTGACATAACCACTACGCCATCTGCTGGCCCTTGTTCTAAACTCTCTTACTTGGAGTAGCTTATTATTCCCCTCAAAAATTCATTGAGGGTAGGTTCTCTTTTTGTCTTCCCCCTCCTTTTTTCGTTTAACATGATGGAATTGATAGAGAGAGGCCGAGTAACTTGCTCAGGGCCAATTGAAGTGGGTGTCAGCTCTGGGTTGTGTACTATGGCAGTCTCACCACAGAGCCTGTGTTCTAAACTAGTATAGAATGTTGCTGGCTTTCTTGGCTTTTTACTCAGAGAAATACAGGATAAGTGCTTTGAAATGCCTGAAATGAAAATTAAAGGGGAAAAAGAGAGCCGAAAAGAAGGATATGGTGTGAAATTATCACTTTTTTTGAGATATGTACTAAGATAGCTAAGCTTACAAGTTCTTTGAAAAATAAAGTTCTTATACCAGTTCTTATACTATCTCACTATTTTTCTTTTGATTCCATGATGCAGTCCTAAAGAGGGTAGCACAATGAATATAATGAGGCACAGAAATGGATTTTATTATAATATTATGCTTTATTAAATTTCACCAGAGTCAATGATTTTTGCTACAATGCCTAATTTAAGTTAGACTCTTTCTCCAGAGGTTACTGCTGGTGACTTTCTTTGTTTGTCACTGTGGAGTGGAGTTTTTTTGTGCTTTTTAATAGTCACTTGACATAGGCATTCAGATATTACTCTTGTCACACCTTTGATCAAAAGAGCATTATTTTCTACTGCCTTAGTTCTTTGTAATTTTTGAGTGGTTCTGCAATAAAACTGGGTTTTAGTTGTCAATATGATAAAATAGCAAAAAATGACTTTATAGTCTTCTCTGAAGGCTGCTGAGTTCATATCTAGTTATAGATTTAGAAACTTAGATGACTTGTTATGGTATATAAAGGAGCAACAGTAATGAACACATACGAGTAATGTGGTTTTATAACAGATCTCACAGTCAGTGTTAAAGACGTTGCCACATGACCCGGCTTAATGCTGGCACAGCAGTGTCTATGTCCCGGACAAGCAGCGGGGCAGCCGCCTCAGGTGGCGTTCCTGTGATGGAGGTGCAGCTGCAGAAGGCAGAGTTATAGCTCGCTTCAGAAGTTGGAGAGCTTTAAACATTTTCATCAGAAAGAATCCTGCTACTAGTCTGTTCAACCAAGAATGCTTGATATTTAGATAACGCTCGTAGGTGTGAATTATTAATAGAGGAATTAGAAGGAAATTGCACCAAAAATAGAGAAGATAAAGTTAATACTAAGCATCAGATTTCTGCCTATTTATCAAAATGCATACATTTATTAAATTTGGCAGACTATCTGTAGTTTACTATGACAACATACATGTATTGCTTTATGTAAGTAAAGTGTTTTCATTTTTAAAGAATATCTGTTTTGATTACTAGGACTTGAGAACTCTTTCTACCGAGTTTATACATTTTGACTTGAGTAAATCTAAACTTGGATAAAATTTACTTCAAAAACAAAAGGAAAATCTAGTTAACTGATTTTACCAAGTTACCAAATGAAAGTTTATCTTATAATTATGGATATATTCCATCTGAGCTGTTGAGAAATTATAGGCACAGGCACTCTAATAGTAATAACCAGTTCCTCTTTATCCAGAGATGCCTATGCTGTTGTGTGCACTTGCTGTGTTCTGTGAGATGTGGCTACTTGCTGTCCGCTTTGTGTTTTCCTTAAGCAACTTTTAAGTGCCCTTCAAACCTTATTCTCGAAAATAGATCAGCAAGCATTTTCTATGAAGAGTCAGATATTAAATATTTTTGGCTTTGTGGGCCGAAGGATCTTTCTCACAAGTACTAAACTCTGTAGCATGGAAACAACCCTAGACAGTACAAAATGAATGAGGATGCTAGTGATTCCTTTAAACTTTATTTACACATATAGAGGGCCAGATTTGACCCCTGGGCCGTAGTTTGCTGACCTAGAGGAACTCTGCACTCAGAGGTGGTTCTTCTTCTTTTCCACTTGAAGGACATGTATATGACAAGGTGAAGATGCATCCACGCATGCTGGCATGCTTTCATCCTTCGTTCATACTTTCATTCAGCCACCTAGACTGAGCTCCTTCAGCGTACCAACATGTGCATGCTGGAGATTACATGGAGTTCTTGCTCAGGCTGAAGGAGTGGTATTCTCAGAAGGCTGTGAAAATGACTCATGACAACACAGAGACCTGAGGAAATTAGTATGTGTAGACAGCAGATTTTGTAGGCAAGGATCACATATGAAGAAATCATACAAGAAAATGTGAAGGGAAATTAGGCCACTTTCTTTCTTGTTCAGCCATCCATCTATAAGATCTGACGTCTTTTGCATTTATTCTCACTCTCTGTCTCCTTGCACATGGGTTTCTTGTCTTCCATCCCTTTTCTTCATATAGTACTGCATGATCCGAAGATTGTGTCTTTTAATAGGTTCCCACTGGACTACATAGTGCTGAACTTCTCTGTATTAGGCTGTGTGATTAAGCAAAAGTGTTAGTGTTCTTATTTGTAAAATAGGGATTTAGACTAAGATCATTTTTGGTTATCAGACTTTTTTTGTCAGTTCTCTTGCTTTGGCTTAATGGTTCACCTAAGGACTTTTCAGAGTAGCAAAAGAGTACTTGTGGAAATACTCACCTCTCGAATACTCATGTCTCATGCTCTTAAAAGTGGCATTGTTTGGTCTTATGAGAAAACAAGGCACGAATATATATGGATCATGGCCAAAACAATACTACTGAGAAAGCAACTTAAAGCACGTAACTTTGTTTATGAATAGCACATTGTTTTTATATTACTGACAGTTAATACAAGTGTCTCAGAATTTTTTTTATTACAGATGATATCACACGTGTACTTTACTGAAGAAAGGAATTTTATTTCTTATAAAATATTTCAAAAATCATCTTGAAGTTTTGACAATGAAACAGCCTCTGTTGTTCAGACTAAAAGTCAAAAGTAGTTTTTATTTCACAAATTTATTGAAAGTAGTTTTTTTTTTCTTGTGCTAACTTTTTTCTTTTAATTGCCAGAGAATGCACATGCTTGCCAGGGAGAGAGAGCAAGAGAGTGAGCAAGCAAGCACCTCCAATGGGGAATTATCTTGTGGCAGTCTCTTTTCCTTCCCTTCTCTGTTTTGTTGGGATTTGGGGGGTGTGCACATGTGTGTGCACTCACGTGTACACAGCACACACACACACCCCTGGTGTATTTTTCAAGCCATTGAAGCCAGGAGTCAAACCTTGGAGGGATATGTGAGAACCAGCTTTTCATACACAGAGCTTAACCAGTATGCTATGGGCTGTCCCTCCTCATACTAATTATAAGTCGTCATTTATTATAGGTCACAGTTTGAACCAAATATAGAAGTGGTGATCCAGAATAGAGGCTGGCAAATGGCCTGTGGGCCTCATTCAGCTTTTGTCACTGTTCTATGGAATAAAGCCATCTTCGCTTTACATTCTCATTTTGCACTACATCAGAGTTGAGTACTTGTGAAAAGACTTGTATAGTCCACAAAGCCCAGACTATTAACTGTTTTAATATTTACCTTGACCATATGCAGACGGCTGGTCTGGAGCAGTACTGTCCAGTGGAATGTTCTACAGTGATGGAACATTCAATATGTCAGCCACTAGCCATCACCCATCTAGCTGTACGACTTCTGTGCATGTCACCATGGCTAGTGAGAATGAGCAATGCACTGCTAAATTTTATGTAACTGTAATTCCCCTTTAAAACTAAATAGCCACAGAGGCTTGTGGCTCCTGTATTGGACAGGCATGGGTCTGGAGACTGGAAGATAGGGGACATTTTGTTACTCAGTAGTTACTGTTTTATATTGAATTCAGTGGAATGGAAGCAGTGTTGGCTCTGTGTGATAAGTAAATGCTGTACCTCATGTGTACCTATTGGTATATGATTTCTAAACACGTGCTACAATTTCAGTGGTGTCACATGTACTGTTTTTCCTCTGCAGTGAGCAGGAGCTCCCAAATCATAATGCAGCTGTGGAACGGGTAAGTCCTGCTCTTTAAGTTCTCATAGGTACTGATGAATTGCCTTTATTAGAGGAACAAAATAGACCACCTTTGTGATTGTCATTGCAGAAGTTGATCCTAATTCTATCACTTTAGGAAAGTAAGTAAACTAACTGTGAAGTAATTTTAGGTGATTTCCTGAGTATCTGGTAGATCCTCGAAGGTGAGGGGAGAGAGCAGTTTCCATTCTCAGTGGGGAGCTCCCAGGCCAGGTGTGCAGCAGGATGTGCTCAGAGCCCTTGAGGAGTGCAGGTGCCCAGGCCCCACTTCCAGCTGCAAAGTCAGCCTCTCCAGGCAGCAGCCTGCACCAGTGAGCTTACAAAAGCTGCTAGGTGGTTGTTATGTGCCCTCTGGCTAATAAAGCATGTTCTAGGCCATAGGCTCTTTGTAACATAACTGTTCCATGAGAGTTTAATAAATTTCCCACAAAAAAACAATAAAAAGTGTTTATGTAGCCAAATAAGTACTACATTAACATTTTAAGGACTTAGAAGTTTCATATAGTAAACCTGTAACTATTTGTAACCTCTCCTATTATACTTAGCCCAGAAGCAGCTCCTTATCTAGGTGTGCATAAGAATTAGGGATACGTGGTTTTTGCCATAGGTGGGTGCACTTGCCCGAGGGGAGATAGAATATTGGGAAAGAGAGAAATCACTCTAGTAGTGATAGTCACGTAGCAATCCCTTCTCCTCCATTCTCCTTTTGGCACACGTGCACATGTCCCTAGCATGTGTTCAAACTGCCTGGTCTAGGACTTGAACCACTGTTGACCATGTGGGAGTCCAGTAGAGTAACCATTATGCTACCTGGTGGCCCCAGGGATTGATTGTTTTAAGGTTGCTCAGAATCTCTCCTCTTTTTTTCTGTTAAAAAATAAAAAATAAAAAATAAATTGTAGAATGAAAATGAGGGTATTGGTCAGGATTATTCTGTTTGTATGTTTGATTGGTGGAGGGGGCTGATTTTCAAAACATGAAGGTGAATTGAGAATTGGAATTTGAAAAACATTTTAGAAAGTCCTTCTAAAATAAAAATTTCATGGAAATAAAAACTGTTACAAAACCTACAGATGGAGATAAAAATTGTCATTTTACGTATAGAGAGATCCCTAAAGGCACTTCTTAGAGTTGAATTTTCTTGTGACTACTTGGTTCTCTATAATCACAATCTTCTGGATTGTACCAGACTTCGCTCTATTATTAGTCCCATTAAAAAATTTTTTTGACCCCAATTTTTGACCTCCTCAGATGCTGCCCTGATTCTTTATAACAAAACTCTTTAAAAGGTATCTGTATTCTTTTTTATTCTTTTTCTCTTCTCTCCATCTTCTTTTTTTTTTTTTTTTTTTGGCCCATACCAGTCAGATTTCTTATTCCCTTCTATCCTCCCCACCACATTGCTTTCTAATTACCTCTATGTGGTTACATCAAATAGTTAGCTCTGTCTTCTCTTGATTTAGCAGGAGCACTTGACATGGTTGGTTCCTGTCTCCTCCTCTAAATCTTTTCTCCTAGACCTGCAGAATCCATATTCTCCTCCTATTCATCTCCTACCAGCTGCCCTTTCTCAGTGCTCTCTGCTTCTTCCTTTGCTTTAATCTCTATACGTCTGGGAACCTCACAGCTTAAGGCTTTTCTTACCATACTTTCCTTTCTTCCTTGGTGATCTTTGGCTTTTAATGCCACCTATGTGTTGATGACTTGGCTTCTTGGCCCCTAGACTTGTATGTCATTGCATGCATCTTCAGTGTATAGACTTAGGTGTCTGCCTTGTCTGTATACTTAAGTGTCTAATGAACTCCAAGCTGGAGTTGCTGTTTCCCTCTTCAAATATGTCCCATTAGTAAACTTCCCCATTTCAGGAAGTGGAAACTCCTTTCTTCTAGTTTTTCTGACTAACATCTTCTAAACTATCTTTGATGTTCCTTCATATCCCACATCTCATCTGTCAATAAATCCTGTGACCTCTGTCTTCAAAATGTATCCAGGGCCAGGCCACATGGACACATGGTTAGGACCACTACGTGGAAGGCCCAGATTCAGTTCCTGGGCCAACTTGAACACACCATGCACTGTTATACATGCCCATAGCCCTAGCTGGGAGGCTGAAGTGAGATAAAGTGAGGCCCTGTCAGAAATACCCAGCTCTGTCTCTCCCTCTTGTTTTTTCTCTCTCATAGAGGAGAAAAAGAAGTATTGAGGATCTGAAAACTTCTCATGATCTCCACTTCTCCTGGTCCACTTTAATCTCTCGTGGAGCATCCCGTCTTCTGCTTATTAAATTTCCCTTCTGCCCCATTGTCTGCTCACCAATACAGCCAGAATGATCCTGTTAAAGTAAGATCATGCCCCTTTCTTTTTTTTTTTGGAGAGATTTTTTTTTGCTATAGGGTGCATGCGCTCGCCAGAAAAACAGAGAGAGACAGAGAGATAGAAAGCGAGAAATCACCCCCCAGGGGGGATGGCCACGCTGCAATCCCTTCTCCTCCATTCTCCTCTCGGGATCCTGGGCACACATGCACACGCGCCCGGCGTGGGTTTTAAGCCACCGGGTCCGGGACATGAACCATAGTCGACTGTGTAGGAGTCCAGCAACATAGCCATTATGCTAACTGCTGGTCCCAAGATTATGCCCCTTTCTGATCCGATGTTACCGTGGCTTCCCATCTCACTCACAGTAAAGGAAAAGCCCTTACTTAGGTGACCTACAAGGCTTATTATGATCTGGTTTCTGTTAATTCTCTGATTTCACCCTTTATCACCCTCACTTGCCCTCTTATTGGCCCCTTAGGGTCTCCAGAATGTCAGCCATATTCTTTCTTTTTGGCCTTTTATTGGGTTCTTCCTCATCTGGCTTTCTCCTTGCCCTGCCTTACCCCTCCTCCCCCCAATCCCCCTTAGATCTAAGGGTCTGTTCCTCATTTCTTGCAGGTGTTTAGTCAAATGTCACCTTCAGAATAAGAGTATCTCTGGTAGTCTCATCTAAAATTGGGAACTGCCCTCCTCCCTTGCTTCTTGTCCTCCTCCCAACTCTTTTTTTCTTTTTAGCATTTAATACTATTTTTCATATTATGTGTTTTCTTTGTTTTGTCTGTTTCTCCCACTTTAGGTAGCCTATGTGAGGATCGTTTGGGTTTTGTTTTTGTTTTATCTGTTTGTTCACTGCTGTGTCCCCACCCTAAGACAGTGCTCAGCACGTAGTAACGTTCTCAAGAAGTGTGGGCTGAATGTCCGAACGAATGTACAACTTTACCACACTAAGTATCCTCACTGAATATACCACACTAAATATTGAAGACTGGCAGGGATGGTCCTTTCAAGTGTTACCGTGTCTTCTATGTGAGAAATTAGAGAGAGAAGAGCTGAAGGTATTTTTGAACAAATGATATCCGTATTTGGCACAGTAAAAATCAGACAGCCCAATCTTGACTTCTATTTTATAATTTTTTTGGTCCAGGAAGTCTAAAAGTCTTTAAACCAGTGATTTAGAAGATTTGAGAATGTGGCAGTGAAGAAAATAAGTCTAAAGCAGAGCTCGGGGAAAATGCATACTTGAGGGTTTTTTTTTTTTTTTTAATCTTTTATTCATTTTTTAAGAGACTTACCTTTGTAGTAAAAGCCCTCTTGCCCAATGCAGTAGGCTTAGATCTAATTGGTTATTCCAGAGAATTTAATGTAATGTGAATCACTGAGAAGTGATCTGAGCACATCTTAATACACTACTTTGTTTAAAATTAAGACACCTTATATTCATGTGTCAGTCTTATTTTAAGGGATCATGGTAGGGTTCTGAGATTACTGACAGATTTCATATAGCCTTTCTTGTAAACCACATTTATATTGCATGACTCTCAACGTTTTGGTGTTTCAAAGTAGGATGGAAACCTCGACCACATGCAAAACAGTCTAAGGCTAGACACTTTTTTTAGTTTATTTCAATATTCCCTCAGTTTTTCTCGTTCATGAATTCTGTGGTGACTGCCTAGTGCTAGTGAACAAACTCTGACATTAATTTGATAAGAACAATCCAGTAGAAATAGACAATAACAACAACAACAACAAAAAAATATATATATATATAATATTTAAAGATCTAAATATATAGGGACCAGCAGTTAGCGTAATGGCTATGTCGCTGGACTCCCATGTAGGCCACCATGGTTCAAGTCCCAG